ATATATCTATACTTCATTATATTGTTAGCTGTAACAAGTTACAAAACTATAGATTATATAATTTTACAAAGCGTAATAAGTATTAAACACCTAATTAGATAGTGTCAATTTAATTAATTACTATTTAATTTTCAATAAATTCTTGAACTATTTATTATTTAGTAGAATTTATAAAATGCCAAAAAAGATTTCTAATGATAACCAACATGATAATCGCAATAAAAAAATTCTTGCGGCATTTAATAAATACAAAAATCCTACTAGTAAACATCCCAGTATAAATAGACTTGCAGAAAGCTATAAAATCCCTAGAACTACTCTTTATTATGCAATTAACAATAATAGTCCTCCTAATTATTGGGGCTCACCTACTATTTTAACAAAATATAAAGAAACCCAACTTGTTAGATATTGCATTAATATGCAAAAGCTTGGGTTCAGTTTAACCTAGTCTGGTGTCAACTATTGTGTAATGGAAATAATAAAAAGTAACAAAAACCATATCCATTTGGTGATAACAGACTAGGTCAAAATTGGTGGACCCGTTTTATAAAAAATCATCCTGATCTTTTATTTCATATCTCTCAAGAGTTATCTGAAGCTTAAGCACAAAGAGCAAATGCAATTATTGTTAAAAACTATTTTAATAAATTAAAATAAATAATTAAAAAAAACTCACTTACTACTATGCAAATATAAAACATAGATAAAACTGGGTTTGTTCTTGTGCCAAAGTTGGAAAAAGTTATTGTAAAAAAAGATGCATATCAAGTCCATAAAGTTGCATATGGAAATTCATATAAATATATTTCTGTTGCCTCTATGATTTCGGCCACCGGGTTATATATTCCACTCTTAATTATTGTAGCAGCTTATACTGAGATTGGCTTATATTGAGAATTTAAGTTATTTTATTATAAAATTATAAAATTTTAGAGGGCTTTTTCAGGGGTGTTTGTTTATATAGTTTTTTTAGGATTTAGGGTTAGATTTATTAATAAAAGTGTATTTGTGGATTTTAGTAGGTATTATAGATTTAAATAGAGACCCTGGATCTCAGCATAAGCCAATCTCAGCATAAGCCGCTACAATTATTTACAAAAAAGTTTATATAATTCCTAACTTGTTAGAAGGTGTGCTTTCAGAAACTGTAATGGGTTTCACAAGTATTAAATACATGCATGAAGAACTCTTTCAAATATATCTTGACTATTTTATCAATTTTATCTTATCTGCTCACTCTATTTTACTAATGCTTGATAGTTACAAAAGCTATATAAGCTACATAAGCATTGATTTTTGCCACACAAATGAAATTTTTTTTTATATATTGTCTTCCCATACAATGCATATTTTATAGCCTTTCAAAATTCCTTTTGCCAAATTAAAAAATAAATATAGTAAAAAATTAGACAAATATCAAATTAATAATAATAGCAAAGTAGTAATAAAACATACTTTTGTGGAAGTTCTTGGCCTAGCTTACCTTAAAATCTATACATCATCTTCTATTTGTAATGTGTTCAAAAGCATAGAAATATGGCTATTCAATCCTGATGCTATTAGCCCAGATCGCTTGGATCCTTTTTTGCCAACAAAACGATTTGATATAGTACCTTCATCTTCTTCACAACAAGCTAAGTTACCTCTATTACCTTCAAATAACCAACTATCTATACAATCGAATATATCACCTTTACAATCATCTATTTATCCAAATTATCTTTGCCTTACTCATTCAAATGCTATTCTATTAGAAAAAGAAAATAAAATTCTTTTAAATGAAAATAATTTTCTTAAAAGTAAAAATAATATGTTAAAAATTCAGTTTGCAGCATTAAAAGAAGAACTAAAAACTTATAAGAATCCCAGAACATGTTCTCTATGTTCTGCTTTTAAGTACTAGATTTTTTAAGTTTCACAGACTGAATCTCAAAAAGCTTCTTTAGATCTAAATAAATCTGAGCCACCTTTCTCTAAAAAAAGAAAAACTTTGCTATTTGCTCGGCTTCTCATTTCCGAAAAAAGTTGGCAGCAATTAAAAATGACAAATGAAGAAGCAGAAAAAAAATCGCAGAATCTAATCAGAAAAAAGAAGAACAAGAGTGAAAAAAACAAGAAAGAGAAGAACACAAAAAAAAAAAACTGGTATAAATATAAATAAATAAATAAAAAAGATAGAAGAGTTAAATAAATAATAAATAAATAGAAAAAAAAAAGTAGTAAAATATGATAAAAAATTTTTTTTATAATTTGTAAAATTGATTACAATACCCCTCTCTAAAATTTGAATTTGTATTCATTTTGTATACTAATTATTTATGCCCAAAAATATCTATGATACGAAGATCTTGTTTACTATATTTTAATCTACATTGAGTGTAGTCTAAATAGTAATTGTTATATAAAAATTTTGCATATTGGATAAAAAGTTCTATTAGTGAGAATTTTAACCTGGCTACAATACCCGTTTACCTTATATATAATATATATAAAATTTGATAACAAACATTAGTATGATAACTATTTAGAAAGCAACTAGGTATTTGTATTAAATAGTATAGTTTTGTAAGAAAATTTTAACACTAAAAACTATTCTAAGTTATTAAAAAATATATATATTATTAATTTTATATCAATTTAGTAAATAATTTATCAACTCTTTTTAACAATTATTTGAACCAAATTTTTTACAAAAGAAAAGTGTAGTTTAGATATTAGAGAAGTTGACAAAACTTGTAGTAGATAAACAACAGAGCAATTTTTATAAAAATTAGCCTTTTTTGCTATAAAAGAATTCTTTGTATATTCAATATGCAAACCAAAAGTATCTTTATACAAGATAACTAGTAGAAGAGGTATGCTCTTGTATATAAAATTTTGATGATGATTAATAGTTTTTTCTGTCAACAAAGTTTTCTGTTATGAAATAACTAAGAAACAGTGAAGAACTTGCTTTTTTCAAGCCACACTCTTTTACTTGGCCAAGTGGCTCTTCTCTTATTTGCTTTTACCTTCCTGTTAGTTTTTCAAAATTTTTTTTTTCAAAAAAAGTGAGAATTTGACTTACCTCCTCCAAAAGATCAACATTGTTTATTTTTCAAATTTAGACAGGCTAGTGAAATGCAACTGCATGTTTACAAATATAATGTTACTATACAGGACTGGACCCCAGACATCAGATAGCTTGAAATACAGGTCTATAAATAGCAGCAGCACCTGACTTGAAATATGGATTAGGATGGGCATAAATAAAGTCATCCAGAATTACAGTAGTTGTAAAGTTGAAAGAAATAATTTTAACATTAAGGCTAAGCTTTACAATAGAGATATACAAGTATTGCATTTGTTATATAATTTTTATACTTATCTGGCACAGATTATAACAGTGTGATTATAGTTTAGTTTTTTTTTACAATTTGTACTATTTTTTTTTTTTTTCTGTTTTTCTTTTCTGATCATTTTTTTGATAACTTTGGTTTATATATATTCCTCTTTTTGTCTCATGCCCTTTAAGAAGGAGAAATTAAAAAAGAAAAATAGCAATCTTGACAAGGTGGATGGCAAACCTGTCAGTGATCATGGGGGTACCTTTGTGATACAAAATTCTTAGTTAAGAATCCTGAGAGAGACAAACTTTAGCAGATCACATTGGGCATAGTGCTTGGTGAGTCTTTATTAGACAAGAATAGTATACTATAAAGGCATTGTATTGTACTTTCATCAAATAGTAATTCAGATAAATAAAGGCAAAACTGCTTAAAAAAAAAAAAAGTAAATAATTTATAATTAAATATATATAGTATAGTATGGGGTTGAGTCAATAAAAACCAAGCAAATATTTTTTAATAAGTTTTTTTAAAATTTTAAACAAGAATAACTTAACAAAAACTTGATCAAATTTAATAAAAATTTTTTTAAATTAATTCTACAAGTTTGTAAAAATTATTTAAAAAAATTTTCATTAAATTTGGTCAAGTTTTTGTTAAGTTATTCTTGTTTAAAGTTATAAAAAATTTTTATTATAAAAAATTTGCTTGATTTCTATTGACTCACCCCCGTATTTAAAATAAGCAATTAGATTTAAATCAACCTTATTATAATAATCGCTTTTAATATAGCCACAATCTCGAAATAATTGGGTCCGTATTATTTCACCGACAATTACTTCACAGTTTGTCGACAGTCTATTTCACCGAAGCTCATTTCACCGACAAGTTTTTTTTTTTATAAATTATACTAACTTTAACTCTAATTATAATGATATTGACCAGAATTACTTGTCTGTAAAATGAGTTTCAATGAAATAAACTGTCGGTGAAATGAACTTTTCGGAAGTAATTGCCAGTGTCTACGAAGTGATTGTCGGTGAGTTGTGCGGATCCCCTTTAAATGCATGATACAGTCTGATTCAACTTATAAAACTCTAAATTTTACACCCTATAAGTGCAATCCCTCTCTAAATGCAAAATTTGTAAATTTTCATTACGGTCCCGAGAGGATGCACTTAGGAAAGTGGGACTATAATTTAATAAATCAAAATAAATTTATTTAATATCTAGATGATTTGCTTACCCTATATATAGGGTTGTTAATGGAGTACTCCAGACATTAATAAAACATATAACCCACTTCTGGAGTACTCCGGAGTGGGTTATATGTTTTACTATTGACTGGAGTGCTCCATTAACAACCCTACCTATATAAAATATGTTTATCATTCGATAAGAAAGATAATTCGAATATACGTAATATAGTAAATAATATCTTCAGATCAATAAATAAATTCTTTATATACTTTTCCCACAATCAATCTAGCGCTAGAAGCGCTCTTGATACATTATTCGATAAATTACATAATTCATAATTATAATAATAGATAATGCTGAAATATATTAAAATTTTTCTTTGTACATAGAATAAAGAAAAAATAGATAGCTGGCAAATTTAAAGATATAATTGAAAGAAAAGAAAGCATATTATGATCAGGCCAACTCAGATTACCAATTTATTTCATCAATTCCTAATTAGAGATAAAAGAATAAGGACATAGGAAATCTATAATTTCTATTTCTTAGCAACTTCAAGAACGTCTTCACCCAGATTTGAACAAGAGTATGGCGATTTGACCGATATAGAAATAGATGAAATGTTTGGTTTCTTTCATCATAGAATATTAGAAATGGTAAAAATAATGAATTAAGAAAAAACAATTAATAATTAGAAATTAATTCTTTGAATCGCGTTGCTCTACGCGTTTGATTCTAATTAAATAAATCATTGCATAATTTCTTATCAAACATAAAACAATATTTGGTAATAATAACTAATCAATGAACGGAATACACAAAAAGATTTCATCTATGCTTTGATTTAAGTAGTTTTTTACTGTTATATTACTGACATACCGTGAGTCACGTAGCTTCCAAAATTTCTTCCGACGATACAGTGCCAGGTTGTGCCATATTTTTTATCAAATTCCCTCTTGATATAAGCTGCGATATCCTTTTCAATACTATGTTTTTCCAAGGCTGTGTTGGCGCAATCAAGAGCTTCTTGCTGCATATCTTCGCTCATATCAACATTCTTGATGACCAGTTTGTTGTCAGTCATTATTCTGAGCTGTTCTTTTTGGAAACTGCGTGTGTATGCTCAAAAAACCGTCAATAATAAGAGTATGTCCTGCTTTTTTTTTTCTTTTTTACAAATATTAAAACGGTATTGCAATAACGGTAAGTAGTTGAACAAAAATTTTCATATGCACGGTTTTATTTATAGAAATTGAATAATTTTTTAAAGAAATTTAATTTTATTTGCTAAATAACGCTGATCGTTACACTATTAACTTATAATCAGATGTTAAAGTCTTTGTCGACTTTTGAGCTTGAAAATTCTCGTGGTACTAATGTGTTCGTAAAATCTATTATAATTTTGGTAATTTCGGAAAATTAATAATTAGCGATAAGAAGTCATGGCTAATTTATGAAGATCAAAACGTGATCATTAACCAATCACTTAATTATTAGAGAAGCTATATTTTGTAATTAACGTAATTCTATTTATTTCAGTCATTGAGATCCTTATTTATATATTATTGCCGATTTCATGGATATTTTAGGACTGGCTTCAAGTCAGAATGTCTGACAATTTTTAGTATCTAAAATAGCACTAGTTAACTCAATCCAACGCTAGTAAACAAATATCAGATTCTACAGTTGGTCTTCGGACAAATGACATCCTACGTACAACCAGTTAAGTTCCTCATATCAAATCAAGAGATTCAACTTGAATAAGTATTTCAACAAGATATTACGAGCCCCATTGAAATTTCTATCCAATAATATGATATTCTTTATATACAACCAATTTTTTTTTCAGGATTTATATTACGCTACTCACATAATTCACACGTTTGAGAGGTATATGATTCCTCACATATGATTATATTTTTGTCAAACAAGAATTGCTTGAACTTATAATGTTTCCAGGTGAGTATTGGTTTTATTATCTTGGATTTAATCTTTCTCTTCATCCTTATTAGGGAAGTGTCATTTATCGTCTAATTTTTTTAGCAGGGGGTGGGTGCCAAAATATCATGCTAATAGATCACATGTATATATGTTTTATGTAATCGTAATTATTTAAGGGAGGGGGGAGATTTTACTACTGTATTTACAAAAAATCAGATGATAAATGACACTTCTCTAACCATTTGTCAAAAATAGTTTAATAGTTTTATACTACGTATTTGAGCAGCTATAATGCAAATTTATAATACAATTCAAAAATCAGATTTTAGACTTTTAAATATTTTCAAAATTTTTATTTGTAATTTGTTTCTAATTTGTTTATATTTTAACTTTAGATTTGAAATTTTTTTTTTTTTTTTAATATTAGGGTGTAGCACCTGCCCTAGACTTTTATTAATACTTAAGCAATTGACATATGGCAGTGCCGAAATATATACATATTACATATTAGAACTAGAACTAGGACTTTAGGTCTAAGATCATTTATTCATGGCTAAAACTCATCAGAGCCGTCAACACTCTCACACATGTGATTGACCTGGATTTTATACATCCCTTCCCAATCACCAATTAGTATTTACATGTCCGCTACTTTACTCACATACCTAATATTTTAACTTCCAAATTGGTGTATACTAGGTAGGTGCTTATTGCTTCTAGTTTGGTGTGTCTGATTCCAACTAGCATATTTCCAGGAGTTCGTATCTCAAGCCATGCAGCTGCTTCTACCCAATTGGGTAAGTATTTCAAGCCTGCATGCTGCCATAACTAGCTGGTTTTTTGTGATTTTAAGATTAAGGTCTTAATGTTTCAAATTCAGTAATGTGCGAATGACTATACTTCCTAATATGGTGACAAGGCTTGCCCAGGCATGTTTCACAAATGCTTCCAGTACTTGATATACAGTAGTTGGATGGGATCATGAGGCCTAGGGGTTCTTAACAGGTGCATCATCATTTCTATTTATGGTAATTCTTGGCAGTTGTAGCCCCCAGTTATCACTGCATTCACTTATACCAGCTATACGTGGTCCCGAGTCCTCTTAACATTCAAAAACTTTCATATGGGTATGACCAGAGCCTGTTAGGTCTATCAACATATACACACCTCCATGCTTCAACTTCTTATTGGTTAGTGAGTTCTGTATATGCCAGAAGTGTTTCAAATCTGGTAAAACCAATTCTTTACCACAGGTCCCTTTGTGTTCACTATATTTTTCACCACTTTTCAATTCTGGTTACTGCCCAGTCATCCTCCCAAACAAGATCCCCAATGCTGGCTTAGAGGTTGTTAGTACTACCTTGCCAATCACAGATTTATACGCACAACCTTTGTATAATAGAACTTTTTGTAATAATCACTGTTACACATAGTGCCAACTACTTCACAATGGACCTCTTTTTGGAAATTCCTAATCCAGACCTGTATTCACTTAGACTTCCCACAGCAGATACTTCCAAATATTCATAAGTAAACATACCTACTAGGACTTGAACTTAAAACCTGCTCATGAAGGGTTGGGTGCTTAGACTACTAGGTCGCAGAATCCCAATTTTATTTAAATTTGAATTTGTTATACTATACTTTTTAAATTATCTTATAATTTTATTTGATAACTTATTCTCTTAGATTATCTATAACTATATACTAAAAATATTTGTGTATAACAATAACGTTTAGATTACTAATATAAATAATTCACTTAAATTGTGTAATATTAAATCTGATATTCTGATTTGTTAATAAATTCTTTAAATTTATACAAGAAATTATTAAGTAAAGATATCTTCAAGGCTTGTAGAGGAGATAATTCTGAGTCAAATGGTAGTTAGATCATCAAAATCAGCCCAGTGGTTTTTGAGATATCTTGGGTTAAAGGCGCGAACATAAGGATCGGCAAAGTCACTATTATACAAAGTATTGATTTTGTTAATCCTTATATTTAGATCTTTAATTCCTTATATCTCAATAACTACTAGCCTGATTTTGATGATCTAATCACCATTTAACTTAGAATTATCTTCTCTACAACTTTATTTAGAGCTTGAAGATATCTTTACTTAATAACTTCTTGCATAAACTTAAAGAAACTATAATTAAACCTACTTTAGGTTCAATGTAATCTACTTTAGAATTAAAATATACAAAAAGTAGTTTTTTGTAATTATCTTAACAACCAGCAGTCCAATCTGGATGATTTTTTTTTAAATAAAAGCTTTCAGTGAGGCATATCCAATAAAAAAGAGTTTATTTAATTCTAATTACTAGATTCTAAAATATTTAAGAAACAATAAATTTTTA